ACAACATGCCGAGTCGGGCTAAGCGATTTGTAGGTAGATGGAAAATTGAGCAACAATGAGACTAATAGACAAAAAATAATTTAAAATTGCAAAAAAATTGTTGACTGCAATCAAAATGAAGTGTTGCACATTGGGAAAGAGCAAACGAATAGGTTCAGTAAAGAAATCAATAATTGTGAATGTGCGTGTTGTGAGTGAGGAGGTGGAGGAGGAAGTGGCATAGTATTTATACAGACTGCTATCTTGCATTTGTTGTGGCATTGAGCTGCTGTGGGTAATACAGCCATCTGTGTCAATGTTCCACCAACGGATGGAGGCGGACTATGATGTCTGTTTGACTGACAGCTCTTTTTTGATTATCTGGTTGTGCGGTGGATGGTCGAGGGTGATGAGTGAAACGGCTGTCCGGATAATTGGGATAGCAAAGAAACGAGACTCCGGTCTGAAAATGTGTGCTTTAGTTATGTGTGGAGTTCGCGAAAGTGAACCTTCAGAAGGATCATCACGCGTTACAATCCACTTGACCTTTTTTGCTGTTTCTGCGACAGGTGAGTGGGCGAGCAATCATCGGACACTTGTGGTGAGCTGAATCGACATGTTCAAGCAAATCTGACCTGCCTTCGGTGGGATGTCCTGCTCGCCTAATACCCTAGTGATGTACTCGCGTACTTGCTGGTCCATTTTCAAAGAAGGTGGAATTGTGCGCATATGCTTTTGTAGTGCACCAGTGTGGTGCGCTGTGGAGTTCATGTGTGAGGCATAGGACGTTTGGATGGAGGCAACGCTGGTGTTGTCTTTCTTACGTACCCCACTGCTTAATGTGCTACCTGTGAGGAGAGAAATATATAAATCTCCAGTAGGAATTCGAGTCATCCTCTGGTGATAAAATACCAAGTCAATGATTTATTAAGATAAGGGAAACAAATTCTATCACCATCCAAACAGTGACGGCACGAACTCATATTTCCACGAAAAAATTATTTGGGAAATTTCCTCCCTCCTCATATTCAATGTAACCTGTTCTC